CCACCATAATGGATAATAAAGGTGATAAGGAGTCCCTTTATTATAATCCTTTCAATATAAAGAATTATTTCATTGGGGAATTTTTTATATGTATTGACATTGACATAGTTGACACATATTATTTCATATACCATTTTTACCTAACTACAAAACCAAACTCCTTCAACATGTCTAAAGATTCTCAATTAACTGAGTCATATGTTTTTTTATGCTTATTAAAACTCCTTTTAGGATTTTATTGTCAATCACCTCCTTAAAGTTTGATTACTAACTCTTTCTACTATCATAATGAATAATAAAGGTGATGAGGAGTCCCTTTGTTTTAATTATCTTCTTATAGGAATAGTTCCGTTGGGATATTTTTTACATATACTGATATTAACATAATTAACATGCATTACTTTATCCACCCTTTTCACCTAATTGCAAAACCAAACTTCTTTCACATGTTTAAAAACTCTCTATAACTGGATCACATGCCTTTTTGTGTTTATTAAAACTCTTTTTAGAATTCTCTTATCCATCACCTTCTTAAGGTTGATTGCTATCTCTTTTACCACTACAATGAATAATAAAGGTGATAAAGGGTCCTCTTGCTTCAATTTTCTCCACATAGGGAATGGTTCCAAAGGGGAACTTTTTATATGTACTGACATACATTATTTCATCCAACCTTTCCACCTGATTACAAAAACAAACTTCTTCAATATGTCTAAAGACTCTTAGTTAACCAAGTCATACGCCTCATAAGACTCCCATACCTCACCTCAAGGCATTCACCATCTCTCTTGTAACTAAGACAATAAAAGGTTATCTACCTTAAATAAACATAAATTGAGTCTTTAAAATGATATGGTTTATAACACCACACAACCTCTTCAATAAGGTCTTTGCAAAATTTTATACATGTGTTAATCCAATAATATTAGTCTAAACTTATTAAAATTCATTGTCTTTCTGAATTTGATGATCCATGTGATGAAAGATGTTTGTTAACTTGACAAACTTCTATGTGAAATTAAATTCCATCTAAAACATTTGTGACCCCTCCTTTTATGAATCTCTAGCATTTTTTATGAAGTGGAAATTAAACCCATATGGTCCTGCAATTTATTATCACCAATTTCCATATATTTTCCCATATGCCATCCTCCATAAATAGACTTCTAAAGCCCCCACTTAGGCTACAGAAATGGTCCTCATCTCTAATCCCACTGATTCACATGGAAAGATAGGTTTTTCCCTAATATGTTCCTTAAAAAGGGCATAAATCTCTTGTTTTAACCCCCATTTAACTAGAGAATGAAGGACTTCTTGCTTGACAAAAGCCAATTCATTTATTCTTTTTTTCCCAAGAAAGTTGCTAGAAAAATTAGTGTTAGTATCCTTTCTTTAGCTAAGCTAGCTTAGACTTTTGCCTCCATTTAAGCTCCTCAATCTTTAACAACCCCTACATGTTAGGACTCTTTCTACTCACTTCACTCAACTCCACTTCACCAATATTATGATTTGTTTTACTCACCAATTTTATCAATAATGCAAATAATGTAGATATATTATTTTTTATTGCTTATTCTCTCTCTCTCTCTCTCTTTGTTACTTAATGCCTCCTTTTAAAAATTTTATTTTAGAGGCAAGTCTGAAGCTTGTGCTCCTCAACCACATATTCATTCCACTCTCTATGCACAAAACTC